TTTTTTTTTTTTTTGAGACAAGGTCTTGCTATGTAGTTCATGCTGACCATGAACTCACTATGTAGCCCTGGCTTGCCCTGAACTCACAGCGATCCTCCTGCCTCAGCCTTCCAAGTGCTGGGATTACAGGCATGTGCCACCATGCCTGGCCTCACTACTCTTCTAAAAGTGAAAGAAAACACACTATTTACTTCCAAACCTAAAATGGCATTAAACCAGATAGACAAGCCCCTTACTTCTTGATCCTACTGTTAGCTTGGATGTCATTTCTAGGAAAACTTCCCTCATATTCAAAACCAACTTAGTATCTTTCCATGTTCAACCCCAGAAACCCTCTTCCTCTTCACTAACAATTCTATTACAGTGCAATAGTTTGTTATCTGAGTTTTCCAGTAAACTGTAACCTCCATGAAGGTAGAAACTGTGTCCTCTAATTCCCTACATTAACATGCCTGGAATGTCTGATGTACTCAACTTCCTTCCTCCCTTCCTTTTTGCATGAATAACATAAATGAAAAGTCCAAGAAAAAAAATGTGTAATTTCTTAACTAAACATATCCCTTTTGAGACTCAGGATATGAATATATATCTCCCACATATATTGTATCATATATATCAAATATATATATGCAGTATGAAAAATGTGCTCTTTTATCTTTTCTGGGTGGAGACTACCTGTGAGAGGAAATCTTTCCTGAAGGAGCAGATAGATTTTTGTCTTACCTGTTCTCTTTAGATAATGTTCTGGAGATGGGATTGTTTTGGCTAACTGTGAGCATCCAGACTTGACTTTTTGGGAACTTGCCCCAAATTCCGAACTTCTAATATTCTGCTCTAATAAAGCTACTTAGGAGATCACAAAGGGCTTCCCACATTCTAGGAAGGAATCCGCTGCGGACAGCACAGAGCTCTCGCAGGGACTTGGGGCGGCGGGGGTCTGGGAGCAGCTTACCTGTTCGTCCTCCTGCATCGACGCGGCCAGCGGGAGCCCGTCCGCCACTCTGGCGATCATCGTCAGCAACATCATCTTCGCTGGCTACAGGGACCCAATACTGGTTCGCACTGCCGGAGGCCTCGTTCTTACTTCTTCTGTTGCGAGGACAGCAAAACCTCTACCTCAGTTTCCGAAGATGCAGCCGTTTGCGTCTCCGCTTCCCGCTGAGGTGGCCGGAAACAGCCCAAGAGAGCTTTTCCACTACCGGTCCTCAGAATTGACTTCCCCACAGAGAACCTCAACCCCTGAAACATTAGTTCCGAGCACTCTTCTACCTTCCTTTGCTCCCAAAGTCCAGCCCACTTTTCTGGATTTCAAGCTTCCAACAAGCCTTACTTCATGAGCAGGTGTGGCATTTGAACTGAAATATAACTTTCTAGCTCCTTGATACTTTTAAGTTTGGGGAGAGGGCCGGAAAGGAGGATAGGGGTCAGTGGGTCAGTGGGTTCTTAAATAAAATCTATATGAAGAACTGAAAATTAGGCTGCCTATTTTCGTTTTTATTTTTTTCTGTTTTATAGAAAATATATGTTATATACACAATATATTCTATATTTGTACATCTTCAAGCACATTTTGAATTGTTACTTGGTTGTTTGTGCGGTATCCCAGACTCTTGAACAGTTTCTGGTAGGAGATAAGTAAATATTTATTGTATATGTGAATAAACGAACAAGCACAGGACCTCAGAGATAATCCATGTCAATCATCCTACCAAAATCTAGGATCCTAGCTATATGACCATGCTATACAGCCAGGTACTCTTACTAGAACTTCCAGACCGGACATTGGCTCTCTATTGAAGCAACTTCTATACAATTGCAAGTAAGGAAGGGTTTCCATTTCTCTGTTCTTTGGTTATCACCCTCTCTAATACACTATTAGGTAGGAAAACACTGGGGCAAGGGTTTCATAAACTAAAAAAATAAAGTTACATAAAGGTGCTTATCATTACTTACATTAATAAAAACTACTCTTTACTAAAGTGCTAACATTTAGTATTTGATTTAATAGAAAAGATGCTAAATGCTTTCACGTATGTATTACTTTGACCAAACAATTCAGTAAGATTGTTTAATATTTAATATAAGGTCCTCACTTTTCCTTTTAAACATATTGGTGTTGGTACCTCTCAAACAAACTAAAATTATTCCAGGAAGAAGACTGTGGTCTTCTAAGGCTACTCATTAACCATAAGGAGAAAGCTAGAATTTTCTCCATTGGGTCCAATACTCACACCTTAGGAACTCTGGGATCTGAGTCACTTGTTCAGACTTAATCAACATCATCTCATTTGCAACCAAGTATTGCCTTTGAGCTCCTACCCTTTGATCCTTTGAGCAATGCAGGACTGTGTTGTAACTGAGAACACTGTGATCAGTACGTGGGAGGTCATCAACTACTTTACACTGAACGAAAAAAGTGTCAACAAACACTTGTTCGAAGAATTGCAATTAATAAAGCTTATGTATTTACTCTGCCTAAACTTGACAACAACTTTGTGAAGTGAGTAAAATTCAAGAACCTTTGAATGTGTACGTGTGGAAGGATACAGAAAAGCAAACCGTAGTTACAGCTGTAAGCAAATTTTGAAACTTATCAAAGAAACTGATGAGTGTACATTTCAAAATCAACTTACCAAAAGCTGCTAAAACAGGATAAGACTTTTTATTGCAGCAGACTCAGATGGTTGTAGAGATTTTTATACGAAACATCAGAGGAAGCAAAAGAGGCTGTTATTTGTTTATTCTTAAACAATTCTCACGTGCCTAATTATATGCCAGACACTGAACTAGTAATAAATATGAATAAATAACAGTCCCATATCCACCCCCAACTCCATCTCCACCTCCACCTCCACCTTCAACCGCTGTTCCATATCCAAGCACCCCAGACTGCGTGGAAGAAGTCTGAAGTACTGCATATGGTAACTCCTGTTTGAATCACAGGCTTATACAAATGAATTATAAAAATGGAAAAAAGCACTTCTCAGGAGGTGGTGCTCTTGGTAGACAAAATAGCCCCTATATCGAGACTGATACCCTAGCTCATGCATAACTATGGTTCACTGGTTGTTTTAAAAGTGGGAACACTTTCCTACAGATTAGTAAATAGCCACTACCCCGAGCAACGCCTCCTTCAGCCTCCACCTCTTACCTTAGCAGCCGACTCCATGCCACCGCAGCCACCTTCAGTTATGATTGGTTATATCCTACGCCATTCATTTTCCAAAGTCCCGCCTCCAGGCGCCGCAGTTGGTTACCAAGGATCCAGATCGGCCCCGCCTCTGCCTCGGAGATCCTCTTGTGGCCGCGCCTCCAGAATGTGACTGGCAGTTTGAAAACTGGCCCCGCGCGCGCCTTAGGTGGCCTACTGATACTGTCTGTACTAGTAATTAAATGCAAGTTATTTTAAATTGTCATCCCTAACTAAACCTCACAGCGAGAGCTCCGTGAAGGCAGGAGTATGTCGCATTTAGCCTTGATTTCTATCGCAGCCCTTGGTTAGGTCATTCAGCGGAGTATTCTGTCTCTGAGGCCAGCATGTTCTTGAAAATACTGACCCACGACTGGCCGACTTCTCAAATGGTCAATGAAGAAGGAACAGAGTATAGCCTAGCACAGAGGAAGACCTGAGTCCCAAAGGAGTCAGAAGTGATCTTAGGCCTTTTGTCTCCTTTGGTCAGCTCCTCTCTGTCTGCCAACCTTTAGCTGGGAGAGGTCTTTTTGTTTGGGAGAGATTTTTTGTTTTTGTTTATCACAATACACTTTTTGATGGGGACCTGACTTTTGTATGAAGCCATGCCTATGAGTCTCCTCATTCTATGTTGTTCTTCATTTTACAACAAAATTTCCACTCCACAAGAAAAATTACAGAAGATGTTTTGTGTTCCTTGAATGCATGTTTTTATTAGAATCCGTCATTTTTGTTAACATACATGTTGGTCAGCTTTTTGTCAGTGGGACCAAATAACTGATATACATAACTTGAAGAAAGAAGGGTTTGTTTTTGCTCATGGTTTTAGAGGTTTCAGTTCATGATTAACTGGCTCCAATTCAGGAACATCATAGAAGGGCATGGTAGAGCAAAGATGCTCACTTTATTGTGGTAGGGAAGCAGGATAGAGGAATTGTAGTAGAAAGGAAGGGGCTAAGGACCAGAGAGAGTACCCAAGTTCAGGCTCCATGACCCACCCAGACACACTGTCAGGGAAAAGGGCCGAAAACCAAGACCAGACCAGGCCACAACAAGCCTTTATTAGGGGAATAGATCTGCCGGGCTGTCTCTGAACAAAGGAGAGACAAAAGCAATATGGCCGGGGCAGGGAGAGTCTTTTATAGAGACTGGGGTGGGGTTTGTAGGGGCTAGGGTGGGGTTGAGTGAGGTAGGGACTAAGGGAATGGAGGAGCCGGTGATGTCACTAGGTGGTAGCAGGTGAGCGAGTAATAGGTTACTTCTAGGTGGGAACAGGTGCATGTTGGGAAGAAGGGTTTATTCTTTGGTGGGAGCAACCATCTTGGCATGACGTCACACAGGGGAGGGGGCAAGGCACGATAGGAAGAGGGCAGCTACTATACATAATAGCTGCTGAGGTGGTGGAAGACCTATCATTCCAGGCTTTTGTTTTATGATAGTTGGGCGAAGGTCTCTTCTTCTGGAGCTGCTTCCGGCTGACAAGGGCCGAAGATCAGGGCTAGACCTGGATCTGATGAGGCCGGTGGCAAGTGGGGACCTCTTCCTTTTGCCATACTGGCTGGTACCCTGCCATGATGAACTCCGTGACTGTCTGGCTGGTGAATGCCCTCAATCGTTCTTGCAAGAAATTTTGAAAACAGCGAACCAAGCACAGTCCAAAACAGAGAATGAAATAGATAATCCTGAGGGGTCCCAAGAGTAGTAATAGCCAGGGGAGCCATGAGCTCCAGGAACCAAACGTACCCCACCATTGATTAGTACCTTGGGGCCCATATCTATCTGCCCCATTGAGTTTTAATTTTTTTTCTTTTGACATGTAATTTTTTAATTCATTATTTACATAGGTTTTACAGAGACAGCTGGATGTTTAGGGGCTCATTTGTTATAGAAGTAAGAGGCTGTTATGGAAGTAAGAGATCATAGCTCCTAATCTAAGGGCTCATGTGTCATGTCCTTGCTCTTAGAGAATGAGTGGAAAAGTGATAAACACAATTTATGTAATCTTTATAATCCTTTTTTTTCTTTGAATGTAAAAGGTGTATGTAACTGAGCAAATGTCTTTTGGAGGCCAACATACCAATGAGTGTAGTGTTACTATGAACCTGACTTGTCCTTTAAATTCAAGGCCATGAAAACACACATTTTAGGTTGA